TCGCCAGGCGTTAGTTTGTCTGGCTGTATGCCAAGATCGCTGAGTTAGGTCAGCAGTAAATGCCGTTCCTCTGTCGGTGATAAAGACACCTTGGGGCGCCGTGACGTAGGATGATATTTCCTACGAAGAACTCAGCTATCTTGGATGCACTGCCTTTGGGCAGGGCTTTTGTTTCGGTGTAGTGGGTGTGGTAGTTGGTAGCTACCACGATCCAGTTGTTTCTGAAAGCCGACATCGGGAACGGCCCCAGTACGTCCATACCAATCTGCTGGAATGTTCGGCGAGATGGTTCAATTGGCTGCAGAAGTCCCGCTGGCCTTGTCGGCGGTGTCTGGCGTCACTGACAGTCCCAGCATGTCCTCACATAATGAGTGACATCGGTGGTAAGGCGTAGCCAGTAGTACCTTTCTTGTATCCTTGCGAGCGTGCGAGAAAAATTGCTGCTTTGTTCATGTGCCGCACGCCCCCGTCAAGCCGTGTACCCAACGCTTCCACCAGGCCCCGCTGCGGTGGTCTAGTGGCTAAGGTACTCAGCTGCTGACCCGCAGGTCGCGGGTTGGAATCCCGGCTGCGGCGGCTGCATTTCCGATGGAGGCGGAAATGTTGTAGGCTCGTGTACTTAGATTTGGGTGCACGTTAAAGAACCCCAGGTGGTCAAAATTTCCGGAGCCTTCCACTACGGCGTCTCTCATAATCAAATGGTGGTTTTGGGACGTTAAACCCCACAAATCAATCAATCAACGCTTCCACCAGATGTCACGGGGTCGTGACGTGGCCAAACACAGGAGACTTTATGCTGGGGTTCAACTGTTTATTTGGGCGAACATGTGCCCAGTAAACAGAAAGTACGATTACAGTAGCAGTCTTGCACAAATAGCAGTGAACGGAGCGTCGGCCGTCAATCAACTGCTGACAAGCCGCGAAGTGCGTCGGCATTTATAGTTTTGCCATCGAACGTTCTAGCATTATCGCTGGCGATGACGTGGGTGCCAGAATGCCAGAATAATCTGTACAGTTCGCCGAGTGGGCGTGATCTTATCGAAATGATGTACTGCAGTTCTGAAGCTTCTCGAAAACTGCAGGCATGGTTTATGCTGAGATCTGATTAGTGTATTGGGGCGATAACAAAACTTCAGAAATGAAACGTGGCATTATTATATAGATTTCAAGACCCTATCTTTCAATTTGGTTCAAAATCTTGGTGGCAAAAGTTTTGTTCAGTATCGCAATTAATTTCCACTTCCTCGGCTAGATTCAACTTCAGCTAAGAAGGGAAGGCATTCGATGCTCAAAAAGGGCACCCTTCGATGAATTGTGTGCCCGGTGGCAGCACGAAGAAAGAGCTTTTGTTGGATCAAGAGACGCTTTATTGCACCACTCAGGTGTCTGCCCGTGTCCAAGCCCGAACCTCCGCTTTCGTTTAACATCCAACCAACCTCTTTTCAACCCTCGGTCAAACAAAGGGTCTCCACACTAGCCAATAACATTCGGGGGCACGCATCATCACAACTAATTGCAGAAACACTTTCACAACTGACACTACATTGGTAAAGAGCTCGTTACAAAATACAGCAAGCGACAGAACAGGTTCTCCGCTCAACTTGCGTTGTCCCGCTCTATCCCATGTTAGGCTGTGTATCAGCTGACGTCCATCGGGAGCCGTCTCTCAAACTCAAGACGAAAACTACTTCCATGTCCTTGTGTTTTTACGGTAAGCGTGAATGCCATCAACTTGAAACCTAGATGGCCGTGCGTCACTTTGTTTTTATGAGGCAACTTTCCGGTCGGCTTTTCCTTCTTGTTCCATGAGCGGGGGAGGGGGGGAGAGCTGTCAACCATGTGAACGACAGAGTCGCTTTTTTTTTTCATGCGCGGTTCTTCCGCGTCCCCCTTCGCAGATCCGACCGGTCAGAATGGCCAAACAGGAGCTGCACTTTGTAGCACCAGCGTAACTTGCGCCACACAACACAACTTGTGCCACACAACTCGAGTGCACCATGATGCCGCTTTTAAAAGAAAAGTCATCGCGTGTGCAGAAAGGGACGAAAATCTGGCTGTATCGCGGTCGTTCGGAGTTCCCGAAACGTGCGTGCGGGACCGGTGGAAACAAAAGCAGAAGACTGTCGACAGCAAAGCTTCACGCAAAGGCTTCAGTAGACTACAGCAGGGTCGGTTTCTGCAAATTAAAGAGCTGCTCGGCGAGTATGTGCTTGAGCAGTGAGCAGCACAGTGGGCCGTGATGACAGAAATGCTCCAAGTGCGGGCTATGCAATTAGTCTTAGAAAAAGGTCTAACGCGGAGCCAGTTTAAAGCAAGCAGGTGCTGGCTAACAAACTTTATGAAGAGGAAAGGCTTTTCCCTCCGAAGGGGAACATGCATATGCAAAAAGTTTTGCGGAGGAATACGATGAAAAGCTTCACAGTTTTCAGAGGTTCATTCTAAACTTGCGGCGCAACAATGGCTACCTGCTTGGGCAAATCGGGAATGCCGATCAGACGCCTCTTTACTTCGACATGCCTGGCACCACAACCGTCGAGAAAAAGGGGGCGAAGCACGTTTGCGTGCTGACATCGGTCCACGGTAAAACTACAGTGACGGCAATGCTCTGTTACACGTCAGATGGGCACAAGCTTTGCCCGTACCTCATATTTAAATGGAAGACGCTCCCGAAAGGAGTTGTTTTTTCGAGTGGTGTGATCGTGCGGGCCAGCGAGAAAAATGGGTGCGGGTTGCAGTTGATGTCTTACGTTTTTTTTTTTTTTTCGTGGTGGAAATCGGGTGCACGTTACAATCGAGGGCGCAATAGAATCGAGTAAATAGGGTATCTCTTTATGATTAGACGACGAGCCATTTTCCTTTCATTGATGAAAACATGAGTAGTTGCTATCAATCATCTAGCCATTGGTGGCCGGGTGAACGTTGCCAACATAACTTTAACTGCCATGTAACACACAAGCACGTTGTTACACAATAATAATTTCTGAAAGCGAATCCTACAAGTAACCATTTTTAAATTTGCAGGAAGCCACTGTTGTGAATGAAAAACTCATGATGACATTTTCTCAATGTCAACGAGGTCTAAAAAACATAATTGCATTATTACGTATATGTAGAAGTTTGCAGTTTCTAAATAACTTTCAAAACGGTGAAATAATATCAACGATAATATGGTTCATCAAAAACGGAAGCTCGGCAATATTATTCCAGAATAGCTTAGCACAGCCGTATGCATGATGCTGTACAAAGTGACAACCTTGCTGACACTATGCAGTACGTGAACGCACCCTAGCTACCAAAGGTCGCATTAATGAAAAAATCGGTAGGAGTACCTTCTGGCGATGCCTGATCTCATAGCTGTGAATGGAGCTGGTAATACGCTAAGGCAAGGGTGTGAAATCAGTGGTCCCGATACAACGCCGAAACCTCCACTCTCGTCTCCTTGTCACTTCCTGTCTGAAGGACCACATGGCAGTTTCGACCTCAAATGAAGTTAGATAACATAGGGAGATTGCTTCCAGTTGGCATTGTCACCCGTTTTTACACTCAGCCAGGTAATGTCTTCAATTATTTGCTCTAAAAAAATGGGGCAGAAGGGCGGGGCGAGGCTGGCTCATATATTTATATAAAAAAGGGGTCACTGCAACAAATCTTCGACCCCATCCTCCGCGAATGTAAATCCCTGCGCTGGCCTGTGAATGGAGGGAAGTTTCTTAGTGGAATTACCAGGTAAGGAAAGGACCTTCAGCAAAGGAAACTGCTGTCCTGCATACTTGCTACGCTAAAGTTTCTGAGCTGAAACTTCCCTAGCAGGATAGTGAGCGTAATCGGTGTCACTTCCTTTGCTGCAAATGTTTTTGCGCAAGGTATGAGCGCAACACTTCCCTATGAACTGTCAAATGTTACGAGCTTTACAGAGCGAAATTAAATTAAGTTTTCTGGTTCTAAAAAAAATCAGGTACCACCCGCTTTTTTGCTGAATTTTTTCAGGATATGAACATTTAGCCGTTGAAACTTGTTATTCTACACACAGACAATGAGCTAACAGAAGCATTGGATGCAAAAGTTTGTGAAGTTTTACACGGTACTTCATAGGAACAGCCGTGACAACAGTTCTCGGCTGCCCATACAACTGCAAAGAGACTTTCTCGAGAATCAAATTCATCAAATGAAACTTGCGTTTGCGGTGGACTAACCGATGAACGTCTCCCTCTGTCAGGAAGCAACTTGTGATGCAGATATTTGCAAGTTTGCTAGGAATCTTGAGCACCAAAAATCGAACTGGAAATTTGCTTGCAACCTGAGCCTAAAACTCTCAACTTTGTGGCATGCGCGCGGAAAGTGATTCTGATTTATTTATGCTCCACTTTCGCATAGTACTGTCAATTGCCGCATTTCTTTCTTCACCTGCAAGACACCTTTCCCCCTCCACCCTCGGCTTCTCCATGCGGCCCTCGCTGTGTCGGCTTCATGCCCCTCTACATCACAACTTTGCCGACCCCTGTTCTAAGTGCACACAAGTGAATAAAATATCGCAAGCGTTGTGGACAAACACTAGTCATATATTTCTAATATATTATATAGAAGGCAGCATTACAATAAGCTGCAGAGTGCTTTATATATTTCGGAATATAAAACTGCACTTTATTGCCTTCATGTACTCCTTCTCTTTCTTTATATTTAATCTTAGAGGCTTTTTATTGGTGGAAACGTTATTTCATTTTGCTTGTTCTTATTCATGTTGTATATAGTTCATCCTTTAGTATTTACGGCCCATTCTGCAATAGCTCATCAGGGCTGCACCATGTACAAATAATAAATAACTGCACAGTACAAGTTCTGGTGTCTTTTTGGGCAGTAGCAAGGGAGCTTTAAAAAGTGAGGAATTCACCATAACACCGTGAATTGTCACCAATATGTGGCTCCTGGTACGGCTTCGCACAAGCAGGTTGCTAATGGATCATATATCTAGAGGCTACTTTACTTGAATCTACAGTACCCACCTTTCTACACTTCATCAAGTGTATGAGGTAGCGACTGGTCTTTGCCTTATGCTGGCTGTCGTACGGACATGTCTGCATCAGTTACTTTTGCGCTTGGTTCGTGGCGTATGTCTGAAAATAAGCAATAAATAGACAGAATAAGCGTATTTCTGGGTGTGGCGAATGTCTTGGGTAGGAGGAGGAGAAGGTAAAACTTTTTTGACCAATGTGTTCTGGCACACACGTCTTAGGTTCACCCGTTCGACTCCACGGTGCCATGCATTCATGAGTTCATGTAGCTGCATGAAGTGGGCAGCTTGGTCAGATGCGATCCTATTGGTTTATTCTTATTTCTATCAACATACTGCAGCCATATTTAGGGCTATAGTAGAAACAGAACTTTAAATTATGCTATAGAAAACGACAATTGAAATGCAAGCAAAGAATACAATTGTTAAAGCAGTTACACCCACAGCAATGCTTAAGCAAGCACGATGCTGATTAGAGTAACACGTTAATCGACTGCAGCTGTCAACTCTTTTAGTTGTAAGGAGTGGATTTTACCAGGAAGGAAATTCCACATATTGAAAAACAGGGCGAATGAGTGATTGAGATAAAATCAGCTTAGATTGTTAGGGACATTACGTATGGTGCGGTGCAAATAACGTAATATTTGATCCCTTTAACGTATACATAATCAATGTGGCAAGTCTATGAAAGGTGTTTGCTTAGAATTACTTCTAAATGCTTATACTTTGAAGCTCTGTTAGGCTGGGTGCGACTAAAAAATTGCCAAAACAGAAGAGTTTACAGCGACTCGTAACAGACACTTTGACAGTTTTAGTGCAATTACCGTTAATCTGCCACATGTGAGCCCACTTACTGAATAATGTGATTGACCATAATGATGATGATCGTTGATGAAAATGATTCTTTTATTAAGCACGCCATCATTGGCGCAGAGTTATTTAAATGAGATTCTGCAAGTTAAGCCTATGATGATAAGTAACAATAATAAAGCGCAGTGAACAGATCCCCGAGGAACAGCGAGAGAATGAAGAAAACTGGCTATTCAGGAAACAATATGGGGGTTATCAAGAATAGCGTTTAATTTTAGGAATAGCTTAGAATGAATGATGAAATCAGAATATTTGTAGAAATAGATGAAAATGTCATTTATTTGGTTAGTTATGTCTAAGACATAAGCAGCGCCATGCATAAGATTGAGTAATTTCTCAGCCCTATCTGCAACCTCGAGACAGGTATCTAGCCACTGTCGACCGTGCCGTCGTACAATAATCTCAAGCTCCGCATAGCTCTAACGCATGACAAACATGAACACATTGCACTATGCGTGCAACGAGGTGAAGTTGGAGGAGTACGCCTCGTACAGGCCCTGGGCAAAGAATGGAAGCTCGGAAAAATTTTTCTGCCACGGGGAATGGAGAAAAGAAAAAAAGACGTTGAAAGCCAAAATAACTTCGTAACTGTGGAACGTACAGAACAAAACAATGTTTCACTGTGCATAAATTTTCAAAGCGTATTTATGCTGGGTATATTGGCGAAGTATTAGATGCCTAAACGAAGTGCACCTGGTAATTGGGCAACTAAAGCATGCGGCCTAGGAGGACGGGCGTCGCTCTTCATGCCCATTCACAAAACTGTCTAGGGCAGACGCAGGAGCATTTTTACACCCCTCACCAATTTTAACTGACACTTCATCACAAAGCGGGTGATTGGTTACATTCGTGTATGCTTCTGTCACAATAGACGGTTGTAGTATACCGGGCTTAGTGGGATGGCGGGCTTACCATGATAGCGAGATAGAAGTGCACATGCGCAGATACATACGTTACCCGATGTCACGGATCCCGTTAATTAGGGAGGCAATTGCCGGGCTAATTTCAAGGGCCGAAGTATCGGCCCCCCGAACTGCACCACGAAAGCGCGGACAATTTAGAAGTGGTCTTATTTGGCATGCCAGTGGACGCCGGCTATGGCCAAAGAACAAGTCAGAGCCGAGAGTTGAAGAACAAAACGAAATTATATTCTCGATTATGGCAGATCAAACAATACACAAGTATGCACACTCGACAATAGTTGAATACAATATGTCACCAATCAAACAACGTACTTCGCAGTACAATCAGCATCATTCGACACAACGGATACAGACAACAATACGCACTACAATGCAGTCGCATGCATCGAACAACCAAGACACTTAAAGACTAAAGAGATAGAAAACTTATTCATTCCAAAGTTCTTGGAACAAAAGTTTCGATGATACTCTTCCGAGAATCACTCACTCAAAGTCCAGTGTTGTTGTCACTCCCGCTGCCTCCAAAGTTTCTCTTCCAGGAAACCTTGCGTCTTCAATTGACCGCTCTCCAGGCTCCAAACTTCTTCGCCCGAAACACATCGGCTTCTCACAAGCAGCTGTTGCCACGCGTCTTCGCTCGATAGCGGTAGACACACACTCTTGCCTGTAGCTCGAGTCTTCACCCCTCAGGTGGAAATCCTCTTCTCCTCCTCCTTTGTCACGGAAGACAAAAGGCTTTGCCCACAAGGCGGAACACCCTACGCACTCTGGCTCATACTTTCTTCTTCTCCTGCTTTGTCACTAAGGACAAAACCTTCACCGACAGACGCGGCGGAATAACCCCACGCACACTGGCGCTAACTTCCTTCTTTTCCTGCTTTGTCACTAAGGACAAAACCTTCACCAACAGACGTGGCGGAATGACCCTACGCACACTGATTGATATGTGGGGTTTAACGTCCCAAAACCACCTTATGATTATGAGAGACGCCGTAGTAGAGGGCTCCGGAAATTTCGACCACCTGGGGTTCTTTAACGTGCACCCAAATCTGAGCACACAGGCCTACAACATTTCTGCCTCCATCGGAAATGCAGCCGCCGCAGCCGGGATTTGATCCCGCGACCTGCAGGTCAGCAGCCGAGTACCTTAGCCACTAGACCACCGGGGCGGGGCGACCCTACACACACTGGCACTAACTTCCTTCTTCTCCTGATCTCCCATCTCTGCTGCTCGATTAAATACCTTCCGCGCTAGATAGAAAGTTCTCATCATTTCGTCGGCGCAATACGCAGCGAAGGCTGGGGAAAGCACGAGACGGTACGAGGGTCGTCCGCGAAAGATGACACAACCCTGCATCACCACGCCCCTTTCCATCGAGAACTTTCTAGGGCTTGCTCGGCCGCCGATGTGAGGAGGTTCGTCGGCGAACCTACGCTTCCGAGGGGAGAGAGACGCGCGCCCAGGGAGTTTTTGGATGCTTGTTTTCTCTTTTTATCGTTGACCTCGAGGCATCTCTCCGGCGCTTCGTCGCGAGAATTTGGCGGTGGGCCCTTTTTGAGCGCTCGTTTTGTGACATCCGTATCGCTTACCGCATGAGCACTATTTTTGAGATTAAATGTTACCGTGTTAGCATAGTGTACGCAAACGTGACGGCGCATGCGGACGCCCACTTCAAAGTGATTTTGGCGTAGTTGTTGAAATATTCACTTCGATCATCGTAAATGACTGAAATGGCTTCGCTTGCCTTCGTTAGCTTCGATGACAAGCACCATACGTCTATATACTGACCGGAGGGAGGTGGGTTGCTTGCCGTGGCTTGTTCTAAGTATGCTGATATTAGCCGCTAGATTATCCCAGAAAAGATACGCGCGCATCACGTTCTATTTTGTCCAGCCCCACCTCAATCTTGCTGCTCTGATTACCTCTTTTGTGATTCCAAGTATGCCCACTAGAAGCACACCGCCACCCAAGATGAAGGACTTCCATGGCCTGCGCGCTCGCCTACTTGCAATTACGTCCACTTTGATCTCCTTGCTTCGTAGGCACGAATGAGCTTTTAGCATGAGCTCTTTTGTAGGCACGGCAGGACGTGACCAATTCCTTCAATGAGTGCTACGCAAGAATACCGATATCCTTGCAAGCCACCTTCACCTGCCTACTCTAAAACCTGTTAAAGAACGCCTGATGGCTCCATGTCTACCATTTATGTACGTTAGGCATTTGACTCAAGACAGTGGCCTCTGTGGGATAAAGGGCCAGCTGGTCAATGTGCCGATCGAAGGGGCCGACACTGTGAAAGGCGGGTCATGGAATGTGCCCGAAAACTCTGCCTTTGACGTACACATTATGCGCCGGCTCCTTAACAAGCAATAGTCTCACCAAAAAACAGCCCGTGCACCTCCGAGCAAGCTCCTCCAACATCATTCACTTTTGATGCAAAAACAGCGCAAAAATAGCGACAAGAACTGAAGCAGAGACGAAAAGACGCTGAAGACGAGGCACCTTTTCAGCTTCAGTCCTTGTCTTTATTTTGTGCCGATTTTACATCCCAAGCATGAACACCCAACTAGCCAAACGTTCGCGTCTAGATCATTAACTTTGTGAATATGGCGATGCTCTTTTTTTTTGTCCGCTAGGTCACGAATTCCGGCGCTGCACGTACACTGCAATACACAGCACAGTGCTTTAACTGGGACCATCAAGTGATGACAGCCTGTCATAGACAAAATGGGACTGCCAACAGTGTTTCACAAATGAAGTTTTTAAAGCAATGTTGTATACCTCTTTCATGCCAGCAGTCTTGTGTGCACGGACAAAAATAGTGTGGACAAAGACAACATGCTGTAAAGCATGAACATACATCCGAGTAACCCTTGTAATAAAGAAAGCTCCAAAACGAGCATGAAAACACTATGACAGGAAAATGCCAGCACATGCCCTCCACCCAAGATTTTCGCAATGTCCTGGGCTTCGAGTGTTCGTTTACCTAAGGTTTCAGCATCGCAGCATTCAGCTGTTCCCACTTCAAGCCGCACCTCTGTGGTCATGCAGTCACCCTGCCAATGCTAGGAAGCCGTCATATGCGTGTAGGCAATTCGGAGGCGCGCACACAAATATTTCCTAGTCAAGGCGCCATGAAGAAACACTCTCATGGAGTGACAGCGAAGGTCCTAATAAGCAACGGAATGAGCTCGCACACTCCAGCCCGCTCGACAATGTCAACAGCATTAGCTTCAAGCCGCATACTTTCAAACGTCTCTTGGACGAAGGGGAGATAGACTAACACGAGGACAAGAGGCTTTGATTGGTTCATAGATAAGGTCTAATGCCCCGAAACCACCATATAAATATTAGAAACAGCGTAGTGGAGGGCTCCCTAAACTTCGACCACTTGGGTTCTTTAACGTGCACTGTTGGACACCGAAAACTTGAATGACCCAAGGCAAACTACTAAATTAACACTGTTGGATTAAAGTTGCATTGTTTGTTTTTTACATTCATAGCTATGTAACTCAACGATCCTACCACCCGGTTCTTAGACAATCCCCGTTTGTTGGCGAGTGCCATCAGAAAGATGATATCATCATCATTATGGCTATGAACGCATCGAGTCAGGTGACCGCGTATGACGAAACACCCATGCCGGTGTGAAAAATGAGACGCGTCTTAGACACTGGCTCCTGCAAAGGTTGGATGCCAATTTAATTCTTATACGATCTAACCGTTAGCTCTTATAAGACCAGTCATGGGCACTGTACCAGTAAAAATAACAGTGTTACAGTTACAGTCACTGAAGGCAAAAAAGTAACTCTGTTACAGTTACTGATTTTATAAAAGTAACTTGTTAGTTATAGTTACAGTGAAAAAGTAACGTCGTTATTTTTTCCGTTACTGTGTAAAATAAGTAATTGATTACAAAAACAAATGATAGATTTGAATGAATAATGGTGTAAAAAGGCACGCAGGTAATGAAACTTGCATGTTGTGAAACCCTAGACGAAAAAAAACCTAAATGTCGGCCAATATAATCAGTCGTTCTGTAAGGCTCACTTTGTCACATCAGTTTTTTGTTGTTGTTGTTCTTGTTGTTTATGCACACTTGGTGACAAGGAAGTTTACTTGCAAACTTCGTTACACTTTAGAATGAGTTGCTTTTCAAAGTTTTCATCAGAGGGCTTTCCCCTCTTGATGGACAAAATGTCGCATCCTTTGCTGAATAGCCGTTCAGCCAGCGAACTGGACGGAATCCCCATATTTCGCTGAATAAAAATTTCCTTAATCTTAGGGTACTTCACCAGCTCGCTGATGTCAGTTCCGAGATCACTGAGCCATTGTTGCACCTCGGAGCATGAAAGAGAGGATTGAGGCAACTGAAAAAACACGTTGTCTTCGTCGGTTCCTTTGCTGGCGGCTCCATTTTCATTGAAAATTGCTTTTACAGCATGACACTCCTCCTCAAGAAGTCGTAACGTCGCTGCTTTCCGTGCTTCAGTCATCCAGGAAAGCTTGAATTTTGGATGTACCGCTGCTGCCAGGGCCAGATCGGCACCCTCCAAAACTCCAGAAAACCTGTGTTGAGAAAGGTTACAGAAACAATGTATGGCCCTGTTGAAAACATTTCACTTTCATTCATACCATGGACAATCCGTGGTACGAATGCATATGCACCCCTGCGAGAACACGCGGTGAAATAGGACAGCAAGGAGATAGGCACAGGAAATTTCTCTCACCTTTTCTTGACTGCGTCCTGAAGACTCCAAGCAAGGAGTATGCAGTACTTAAGTGGTGGGAGGAATCGCTGATACCGCAGTAGAGATTGAAGTGTTGGCTGCAGGACGCCCTTGTACATATATTGTTCTCCTTGTAGTATATCTAGCGCCTTTGCCACAGCGCACATCACCTGGAAAAATAAAAGATATAGTGAATACACTGCGTCATGTTAAACAAATAATCAAAACATACCTTGCAGTATTCACCAATGAACATAGATTCTTTATGCTGCAACCGTGGCAACGAGAGTGCGTCGAACGTTGCGTCCATCTTCCCTTTCAGCACTTCGTTTACGTACTTCATGGCGTTGAACAATGAATTCCATCGCGTTGCATTTGGCACAGAGAGATGCCTTCCCAAGGCAGCCTTTATTGCTTTGGCTGCCTGCACAGGCTGGCTTTGTTTCCTCCAAAGAGTCTTCAGTTTTGAGAAAACGGTCCTCGCCATTTCGCGGTAAATCCTATTGTTGCCGGCATTTTCGGTATCCACCGAAGCGACGAGATTTAGGGTGTGCGCGGCGCACCTTCTGTGCCGTGGCAAGTAGATATCTTGAGAGGAATCATTGTTCGAGCCACTGTCGAGTACTTCTGTGACGTTATTTGCCACAAAATCTTGGTCCCGTTCAGCTTCTCTAAAAACCCTGTGTCCCGAAAAATGGAAATTTCCAACAAGTTAGCACGGAAATGAGCTGGTGGAGGTTCAACATTTTTATACAGCCTCCGTATAATTTGATTGACTAATTTCTTAAGCAGTATGAAATAAAAGTGCCAATGATGATATATGGTGTTTTTTGGCACAAGGGCCATTTGATGCCCAAAGAGCACCAGTTCATGGGACAAGGAATATGGATAATGATTGTGATTAGCGGCTGTATAAGGGCCATAAAATTCCTCGCAGTAAGGCAGGTAAAAACATACAAATAATAAAATAATGACCATGCCGTGAAAGGTGTGTGTGGTGTGAATAGGTGACAAAAGTTGGTGATAATGTAAAACGATGGTGGACATGTATGGCATTAGCACAAGTACCTCACTCGTTCATACCCTTGCGTCCAAGGGCCGTGAGGCAAGTGCTTTCCTGTGTAGCCACGGCAGCAAAAACCTCCCTGGAGAGGTCGTGCTACGGGATGCCCGGGTATATGATATGAAAATTATTAATATCTTTTAAAAACGCTAACAATGATTTATGACTAAAAAGTGGTTCCCTACCAACGAACATTGCAGGGTGTAAAGGTATATGTTGTCGGTAGGGTAATAGAAAATGCTGCTTTCTTAGAGTTCCTAAGTGTTTGCACTGAATTAACATGTGAAGGACTGTAAATGCTTCACCACATCTGTCACACAATGGTGGATCGCCACCGGACAAAAGATATGTGTGTGTCGTGTATGTGTGTCCTATCCTGAGTTCGTTAGTATTACCTCTACATGACGCGATTTTGATACTGGCAGCCAATGACCAAGGTGTGGCTTAATATAGTGTAGTTTGTTTCGTGTGCGTGTATCCCACTTGGTCTGCCAGTAGTCCCTGAGGTTTCATTTGAGAGACGGCTTAAAATCAAGGGCCTGGATTAATATGGGTGTAGGGGCAGTGCTTTTGTGGACAGATGCAGTGAGCTGATCTGCCCTCACGTTGCCTTGGATGTCACGGTGCCCTGGCACCCAGCACACTACAACATGTTGTTTAAGTGTGTAGAGTGTGCACAAACTGGAGTAAAGTGACATGAGGACTGGGTTTTTTGTTTTTTAAGACTGTGCAGAGCTGTTACCACACTGAGAGAGTCTGTATAAATTACTGCGTTTTGTATTTGTAATTGTTTGATGTGTTTGGCTGCCACAAGTATCACGTAAGCTTCCGCTGTGAAAATACTTGTGCCTGGATGTAGAGGGCCAGCATCCGAAAAGGATGGGCCGACAGCAGCGTAGGACACAGAGGAGTTAGACTTGGAGGCATCTGTAAAGAACTCAGGACGTGTGTATTTGTGTTGAAGTTCCAGGAAGTATGTTCGGATACGGGCAATAGGTGCATGTTTTGTAACTTCTAGGAAAGACACATCGCAGTCACTGCCACGGTGACGGGTATGCTACAGGAGCCATTAAACTGTGTTCAAGTGACACTCCAGTGTCCTCAGCTAGACCCTTCAGGCAAACTGAGAAGGGCTGCCTCATCGAAGGCCTGTTTTGAAACAGAATGGAGCTCGACAAATCAATAATAGTAGAGTATGAGGGGTGCTTCTTGTCTGCTTTCACCTTAAGAAAATATACAAAGGACATGTAAGTTCTCTGTAGATAAAGCAACCATTCATTTGACTCAACGTAAAGGCTTTCTACAGGGCTGGTGCCAAAAGCACCCGTAGAAAGGCGGATGCCCAAATGGTGCACGGGGTCCAGCATCTTCAAAGCACTTTGAGTTGCAGACTGATAGACAACGGCCCCATAATCTAAGCGGGTACGAATAAGGCTTCTATAGAGGTTCATGAGGCATTGCCTATCACTACCCCAAGTAGTACGTGACAACACTTTCTTAACATTCATGGCTTTTAAACATTTTGTTTTCAAATACTTGATGTGCGGTACGAAGGTCAACTTGTTGTCCAAGATTAAGCCTAAGAATATATGCTCGGCTTTGACAGACAGACGTTGCCCATTCAGCCGAATGTCAGGTTCAGAGTGCATGCCTCTCTTTCGAGAGAACAAGACACACGTGCTTTTTTGTGGGTTAAGTCGAAATCTGCTTTCATCTGCCCATTTGGAGACCTTGTTTAAACCCAGCTGAACCTGCCGCTCACACATTGCCAAGTTGCATGACTTGAAGCCAAGCTGAACGTCGTCGACATAAGTACAATAGAACATATTGCGGGGGATGGACAAGTGCAAGGAATTCATTTTGATAATAAAAAGTGTGCAACTAAGTACACCACCTTGTGGCATGCCTGTTTCCTGGACATTGTTTGGGAGAGAACACTGCCCACACGGACACGGAATGTCCGGTTTGACAGGTAACTTCGATTATGTGAAACATTCTTCCGCACACACCAAGGTGGGACAGGTCTCTTAGAATTCCAAAACGCCATGTTGTATCATAAGCCTTTTCGATATCAAGGAACACAGAGAGAAAATATTGTTTATAGACGAAGGCGTCTCTGATCTGTGCCTCGATGCGAACAAGGTGGTCTGTGGTGGATCTACTTTCTCGAAACCCGCACTGAAATGGGTCGAGCAAATTGTTTGTTTCAAGAATATGTACAAGTCAGCGGTTTATCATTTTTTCGAAGACTTTGCACAAGCAGCTTGTAAGTGCAATAGGCCTATAACTTGAAGCTAAAGAAGGGTCCTTGCCCTCTTTCAAAATTGGAATAATAATAGCCTCTTCCCAGGAGGTAGGGATAGTGCCAGAAAACCAGATAGCATTGTACAAACAAAGTAAGGTTTTTCGTGTTTCTGCTGGTAGGTTTTTTAACATTTCATACACCACACGGTCAGAACCTGGGGCAGAAGTACTGCAAAAGTTTAGAGATGATCGGAGCTCAGCTAGACTGAAGGCTTGGTTATATGCCTCGTATCTAGTGGATTTGTGTTCGAGTTCTGCTTTTCTATTCTTGTTCTGTGATTTTGGAAAGTGTCAGTGTAGTGGGACGAGCTGGATACCCGTTCAAAGTGTCCACCGAGGAAGTTTGCCTGATCTTCCAAGGTAAACTTCCCTTAGTGTTTACGAGTGGGAGTGAGTGTACTTTTCTTCCTGCTACCCTACGAACCATGTTCCAGACTTTGGCCTCTTGTGTATATGAATTTATCCCTGATAAAACTTGTGCCAACTTTCTTTTCTGGCCTGCCAACGCGTTCTCCTGCCTCAAGATTTTATTTTCTTAAAGCTCTCAAGGTTTTCCACTGTCGGCGAGTCCCGCAGCAACCTCCATGCTCTGTTCTGTTCCTTTCGCGCATACTGACACTCAGTGTTCCACCACGGGACGTGTCGTTTGCCGGACAGTACAGATCTTTGTAGAATGCACTTGGCTGCTGCGTCAGTAAGAAAGGCCGTGAAGTACTGCACAGCTTCATCTAAGCCTAATCCGCATAAGTCAGTCCAATTTAAGTGAGTAAGCTTTTGAAATTTTTCCCAGTTGGCTTTGTCTACCAGTCATTTAGGAACATGTGGAGGACATTCATATATTATTGGTGTAATCAAAACTAAAGGAAAACGGTCACTTCCATATGGATTATTTATGACTTTCCACTGAAGTAATGGTACAATGATTGATTGATTGATTTGTGGGGTTTAACGTCCCAAAACCACTATATGATTATGAGAGACGCTGTAGTGGAGGGCTCCGGAAATTTTGACCACCTGGGGTTCTTTAACGTGCGCCCAAATCTGAGCACACGGGCCTACAACATTTCCGCCTCCATCGGAAATGCAGCCGCCGCAGCCGGGAATCGAACCCGCGACCTGAGGGTCAGCAGCCGAGTACCTTAGCCACTAGACCACCGCGGCGGGGCTGAAGTAATGGTACAAGTGAAGGAGATGCGATACTGAGGTCTATGGAAGAGTAAGTTTTGTTGGCAAGGTTATAGTATGTTGCCTCTTTCCTATTCAACAGACAAGCACCTGATGAAATGAGGAATTGTTCAATGAGACGACCTCGTGCATCACAGCGAGAGTCACCCCACAGACCATTATGTGCGTTCGGTCCCCATGGACTAGATAAGGTTCAGGTAGTTCGTCTAATAAAGACTGGAATTGAAGTTTTTCAAGATGGTGATGCGGAGGTATGTACAAAGAGCAGACAGTGACAAGTTTGTTTAGAATAACTACTCGGACAGCCACCGCCTCGAGGGAAGTTTTAAGGGGTAATTGTGTGCATGCTATACCTTGACTAACTATAACCGCTACACCACCGGATGGTGGCATGGGATCATCTCTATCCTTTCGGAAGATTACGTAGTTACGTAAAAAGTTTGTGTTTGTTTTAAGCGTGTCTCTTGTACACACAGCACTCTTGGATTGTGTTCATGGAGGAGTTCTTGTAAGTCATCGAGGTTTCGAAGAAGGCCTCGGATGTTCCCCTGTAATATTTCTGTCTGCATATTTAAACAAGAGAGATGCTGCTGTGTGTACAAAGAGTATCCTGTGTAGGAGTGAGCTCGTTAATTCAGGTGGCAGGACGGTCGTCCGGCCCCATTATTGGTTTTTTGCTTTTCTTGGCACGCTCCAAGGAGGCACGCCGCTCTTTCGGTACCAAGGATACCGTTGTATCCATTGCCTCCTCAGAGGCACTGGATGCCCGCACATGCGAGCTGATGGTTTGGATTTTAGGCCTCACCTGGTGAGGTGAGGCCTTGAGACCAGAGGACCCTGGAGTCTCCGGCCTCAATTCGCTTGGAGGCGGAGTAGACTGTACTGCCGCCTTGGGGGCAGGCGCCACAGCCGACGGCTCACTCTGCGCTGGCCGA